TCCATTGTCGTTCCAAGTGATCAACTGCGGGGCCTTGAATAGCCCCTGACAAGCTTTAAGACCACAGACACTATGAAATGAATTAGGAGGCAGAACAGAAACACTAAATACATTACGAGGCCAATTAGCTGGGATGTCCCCTAACCATGACCCTAAAGATCCAAATCAATGAACCAAAATCCATGAGGTGCTTGGTTGTACAGACGCAGGCTCAGGAGGTAACTGTTGCTGTCATCTGTCTTACAACTTTTCCTAGGCACATAACTTCTCGACAGCAATTACAGTTGTCAGTTGTAACACCCCACCCTTAATCAGTGTGATTTCTCCATCACAGTTCACAATACATAGTTCCTACATATAATTAAAAGTGACCCAATTTTTAACATTAAAAGACTTGAACAGATAGATGCCTTTACAAAAGACATAAAAACAGCCACAAAGTATGTGAAAAATCTTTAACATAATTAACCTCAAGAAACATGAAATTAAGCCATAATGAGATTTCACACCATTAAAATGGCTAAAAGACTGACTACACTAAAGGTTGGTGAGGCTATGGAGCAACTGGCTCACTCGTCATTGCTAGTAGGAATGTAGATTGGTACCCCCACTTTGGAAAAATCCGTTTAATATTAAATGTGTATGTATCATTCAGCAATTCTACTGATAGGCATTTATCAAAGAGAAATTAAAACATCGATCCAAAGATCTGCACACAAATATTTGTGGTAGATTTATGTATAATACCCAAAGGAAATAACCAAATACCCAAAATATGCATGGCTAAACAAGTGTGACTTCTAGAATGAATCAATGGTGAGAAGGAACAAACTATACATAGGTGTAACAGCACGAATGAATCTCAAACTACATTTAGCTAAAAACTACACACTATGATTCCATTTGTGTGAAATTCCTAAACTCCCAGCCACTACTGTCCCTCCGAGAGGGGCAATTACGCTCCAGTTGAAGGTATAGCGTGCATTTCATGGTTCAAGCCAACCAGTGTTTCTGAGAGTCTCTTCATAAGCACAGCAATGTTAGGGACCACGCAGCCAGATGCGTCCGTCTCACTACTGAGCACCCAGTGAACTGACTCATCCACGGCAACGTTTCTGGGCACTGGTAGGCTTCGTTTTCAGTGGGAGGTTATGATTTTGGTGGAGAAAAAGGAACAGAGCTTATCTTTCATATAGGGACCACCTTTGATTCCTCTCAATTAGCCACTTTACTTCTCCTCAGGCATTCTACAAATGTCTGCTAATTAAAAAGTGGATTGTTCATTCAAAACACAGTATGGTTTAATCTGCAGATTAAATACTTGCTCCTAATGCTGAATGTGGCACCTAGTAGGTTAATGAAATCTTTATTGAAGAGAAGGCATTTAGCTAGTAGTATTCATCGAATCCCAAGTGGGTTTGGGATTCTATGAGAACGCATGGTTTACTGTAGCAATGAATCGGTTAGTCTCCACTGTCAAGCATTTAGGGCCCAGGATAAAAAAGGAGCGGAGAGATGGTCACAAGCAGGACGTGCTGCAGTAAGATGGCCAGGCGAAGATTTTGTGAATCTGATGAAGTTGGGATGACTGGAAAGGAAATGTTTCCCCGTTCCAGCTGCTGTGTGTTAGCTCTCCTTCATGCTGCCCTGGGCAGTCTCTGGCTGTAAGCATCTCTATTTGATTAGCACCCAAGTTCTTCTGATTTTTCTTTGTTTCCGTCTTCTTCCCAGACACCATTTACAATTAATCTGCCTGCAATAGAAACTTCATGTATTAAACACTGAACCCCTAACTTCTCTCCCAGGTTTATTTCTGACTTCTTATAGAAGGGAAAAATGGATCATGCTATAAAGGAGCAAGAAGTTGGAAATTCACAGCACTGGGAGATAGAGAGGATGGTGATCTAAGTCTCGGAGATTTCTGTCTCAGCATCTCCAGCCGAGTTCCAACTTCTACCTTAAAAGTAAAAACTGTAGCCCTAACATTCCCAACTCCTGTTCTATACTCTAAAAGGTTTCAAGTCAAGGGAGAAGTAGTTCCCATTTAATATTCCTGTGGGAAGGACCTTTGAATTCCTCTAGTGGAAAAAAAGAGAACATGACAGTGGTGTCAGGGGGCGATGTAACAACGATGAAAAATACAACTTTCTCTAGTTCCTAAATTTTTCCTCCC